AAAGAATCAGATTACATTGAAATGCTAGAATGAAGGTTGCTCATGTATTCAGACATGTGCATTACCATGCGATTCGGGACCCCCAGTGAGTGCAATTTGGCACACCTACATTAACATTAATAGACTGCTGATTTACTCCTCAGAAGGAGTTGGCCTTCAGCCTTTAACTACATGAAAACATACCCCTTTTTGCAATTTGCCTGATGCAGTAGGCAGGATATACATAGAGCAGCTTATCACTTCAAGTCAGCTTTACATTCAGTTTCCTTAACATTCAGCTAGCTTCCTTTTCCGATTACTTTACTGCAACGTTTAATCCTTCCCTCATTGGGCCACTCATTCCTATCCTTCTTTCTGCCTTCTTACTAAATGACTCAAACTCAGGAACTGTAAAATTAATTCAGAACTGCTATGGATTTGAGTCATGTTGGGTGCCAAACTGGAAATTGGCATAGGCAACATAAATTGGGCACCAACCTCCATTTGTGCTTTTGACACCTGAGTCCCCTCCAAGTTCTTTATAAGGAAGCTGGAATTACTTTCAGGTGATTCCTGGTCTGATTGACATCAAAGAAATATTTCATAATGAATCAAATGATCTGAATAGTGAGTAGCAGAGGTGTAAGTGATGATAACAGAGCAACGGACAGAGTCAGTCTCTGTCCTTGTGTGCATCTATTTTATGTTTACTGAGCTATCAAAACTTTATGCATGAAATCCTGACTCCACTGAAATCAATGGCAATACTCACAAACAGAACGTGTTGGAGTTGGGGTTCCTCTCAAACATTTCTATTTGTTGCTATTCTTATTCATAATACAAAGTTGTCATGTCTCTCCATTTAGCAAAGTTGAGCTTTACCATAAAATAGGGCCTGATGATAGAAAGTTTTACTCAGATATGTAACCTTTGTTCATACCATCAAAGACCTGAATGATGAAAAATTTTGGAAGTGGAGTATGTCAGTTAAGGCTGCAATGTTTCCTGATATATTTCTGCCAGGACATCCCCTAACTTGGATACATGTATACCAATATTAAAGCAGTAAAACTACACCTATATATGCATATTTTTGCTGGTTGTTTCTGTGTACACTAGCAGCATTGTACTAATTTAATTAGACCAATGTAACTAGTGCACCTTTTGTATTGTAGAGAAGATCAAAATCATACTGTGCTTTGTTTGCTTGGTGTGAGTTTTGTTTGTTGGTTTGGTTTTTTCCCTAAGAATGGCTTCCACTGAAAGCTTTAAAGGAAGAGCGACAGAGACAGAAGGGTTTCTTCCCTGCTTGATTTCTTTCGGCTTTTCCTTCCATACTTCCTTCTCTCTTTCTCGCTCACTCTGTACTCTTTCCTTCTTTCTTTCCTTAGGCAGGCAGGCAGACAAGTATGTATAAGAATGAAAGACAGTGAGGGAGAGAGAGAAGGTGAAGGGGTTAAAACAGAATAGATTATCAATAGTGAGATGGAGTCAGTTTTAAAGTTTCCCAAGAGCAGAAATCATTCATTAAAATATATACTTACTGACTTAGGTTTTCAAAGGAATTGACCACATAACTCAAGCTTCTCGGAAAGTCACGATCACCATTGCACAAGGTGCGCTATGAACCAAGTCAGTCCTTAGACCAACAAGGCTACAACCAACAACCCTGTGGACCAAGGCATACTTTCCTGTATAGCCACATCACCCCAAAAAAACCCAACAATGTGACAGAAGTCAGTACAGTTCTGTGTGAAATCACAACACTGACAGAAGCAAACACTGACACAGCAACACTGACAACTTTTCCAAAGTTCATGTCCCTCACAAAAGTTTAGTCCTTTGCTATTGTGGGGTTTTTTACTTCTTACTTTACAGACACGCTCGCAAAGCATTATTTTTAAAACTCACAAGGGAACTTCCAAATTAAAATTCATATTAGAGCAAAAAGTATTTCTAAGGGAACTTTTCAAAGGCACCTGAGAGAATGATGCACCCAGCTCTGATGGGAGAAGAGCATTTAACTCCCTTGGGCTTGTCTGAATTTCCCAGAGATGTCTGGCAGGCTCCAGTTCTTGTCATCACATTCATTTTCCTTCTGAAAAAGATATGTACATACATACAAAAATAAAGGAAATTGCAATTATGAAAACAGCAAAATACATTAAATCCAGCTTTGAATCCAAGTAACAGCAGTAGAGTAGCATCCGTTCAGGGAAATGGTCACACTCATGACAGCAGGATGTAAAAACAGCTTTTAAGAGTAAAAACACTGGTGTCTCTCATAAGATGGGGTTTAGACCAAACAGCCCTCTCAAACACAAAACTGCAAAACGTACCAAATTCAGCAAGGCTACTTTCTGCAGGAAGAAACTGGGGTCGTTCACCCTTCTCTGTAGTGACCACACCAGTACCTGGGAGACAAGGGTGAATAAATGAGGGTCTATCTCCCCACAGGAACTGAAGTAAGATAGCAATTGCTCATGGAGCTGGGAAGAGTAAAACTTTGGTATTTTGGAGATTATCTATGGACACTGGTGGCAAAATCCTATTTCCATTTACCCACCCAAATGAACTGAAAGTTATGCAAAGTGCCGTGGCCTATTTTCAAGAGGAGGACTAAAGAGGGGACATGTTGATCTAGTTGGGGCTGGTCCTGCTTTCAGCAGGGATTGGACTAGATGTGACCTCCTGAAGTTCCTTCCAACCCTCATTTTCTATGATTCTATGACATGGAAAAATGGTAGCTGTGCCCTGGTAGTTAAAGCACTGTGCAGATGAAAAATCAGAGATGAGGGTTTTGTCCCCCTCAGGATAGAGCAGGTCTTAGTATCCATATCTCCTGCTTCCTGGTAAAGTGCCCTAACCACTAGATTTAAATATGTATTTAATATTCATAGAATAAAATGGGGAGAGAATAATGAGGATGTTCCTGGCCCATTGGGAGCAAGGCCCCAGGCTAGATCCAAGAGCCTCATCCTTTTCAGAGCAGCAGCTTGCAGACTGAGCCATACACCCTCTAGTTTGCTCTTTTCCACCTGGTCCCTTATATATCTCCCTCCCCACTATTCAGATGCCCTCCCCCACTTTAATTTTTGCTTGTCAGCAATGTGAGGGCTTACAATTGCTCTCATCTGTTTTTTGCAGCCACATACCTGCTTGGCCGACATACAGTCTACTGCACATTTGGTGACTTTGTGAAATGGGATTGTAAGTGCCAAAAATGTCAAGTTACATGGCTAGGCGAGTGTCATTGAGGTGCACACAGTGAAATAGGATCTTGCACGCTTTCAAACAAAATAATTGGGATCTCCTCATGCTAGGTGTGCTTCCCCTACACACTAAACAAGTTCCCTTAGAAATACTTTTTGCTCTAATATGAATTTTAATTTGGAAGTTCCCTTGTGAGTTTTAAAAATAATGCTTTGCGAGCGTGTCTGTAAAGTAAGAAGAAAAAAACCCCACAATAGCAAAGGACTAAACTTTTGTGAGGGAGATGAACTTTGGAAAAGTTGTCAGTGGTTTTTTAATGAACTAACTTGTTATATCCTTCAATTTATAAGGAAGGCAAATGACCTGTAATTAGACAATATTAAAAGAAAAAGAAAGGTCTCCTCTTACTACTTATGTTATATAAAGAAAATCTCTCTCTCGCTCCTCCCCAAATTGTTTGTTTCCAAGGTATATATATAGTGGAAGCCCATACATTTTCTCTTCTCATCCTTCTCTACATGCCCCGGACTGCCCTGGCCTGAGCAGCTTGGCACCTATCTCCTGCCTAACCCCTGCTGGAGTCCAGAAACTTGGCTGATAGTGTACAAAGCATCCTGGCCTGGTAGACAGGGAAAGCAGAGCTAACGCACTCCTAGAGCAGAGTTCAGTAGAAAGCACAGCAGCCACAAAAACTTCCATTCACAAATCCTCTCTCTTACTGATGAGCTTCTGTGTAGCCAAAAGTGCAAGTCATGGGACAGGACAGCAGGCCAGGGGAGCCTTCCAGTGGTTTAGGTATTCAGCTTGGATGGGCAGTCCTGATCCCAGTCCATTTTTTGTTCAGTCACTGCTTAATATAAAATGCATAAAAAGTCTCTGAATAAAGGACCAGGACTCTCCCTCTCTCATCAAATGTCCTAACCATAGGCTAGTCATGATGGCAAGCTTCCAAAATAAAGGTGCTGTAGTATCTAATGAAACAGTTTCCAACCCCTGGTTGAGACTCAAACAAGGGTCGTGGAGGCAATGCTGGCAGCACCGCACAGAAAAGAGCCACGTTGCGTGCCAAGAACCCCCCCGACCCTGGGCTGCCGCACTCCACTCCCAGTAGTGGGGTG